GCCCATCTCATTCTTTGTGACTTAATCACCCTGACAATACTGGGGGAGGAGTACAGATTTTTAAGCTCGTCATTATGCAGTTTTCTCCATGCCCCATCGTCTTCCCTCTTAGGCCCAAATATCCTCCTCAACACCTGCAATCTGTAGTCACACTTAATTTCTGTAACTAATTAATTTATTCAGTGGGGATGTTTCAAAATTAAAGTTATTGAGTTCGTCCACATATGAATGAAAGAGAAACCATTCATCTTGAAGTGTCCCATATGTCAACAGAACGTCTATATCATGTGAGTCGAGAGTTTAGAAGGTGCGTGAAATATCAGATCCAATGGGGAACGTTTTAAAATCTCCGGTGGTGTAGGTAGCAAACTTAACTCTACGATGAGCTGCATTTTCATTATCGCTGCAGCCGACAAACTAGGAAATTTGGTAACCAACGCAGTGTTTCTGCGTGGTGGAAAGGCCATGCTGTGGCCAAAAATTCTCCCCGTATTAACAAGTTCCAGTGATTATACACTGACTTGCAGCTAACTTAAATTTCCACACAGGTATTGATTGACACCTTTCAAAAATTCCTTTTTGTGGTTTGAATGATTTTGTTCTACACTTTCTTACTCTCATTTTTTCTTGCACGATTTCCAAAATATTATTCGCATGCATTTTATTTTGAATGTGTTATTTTACTTTTTCCCTTCCCCGCTACGCGTCGCACAGTTCGAAAGCTGCAGCGGTGGCAGCACCAGTAGTGCCGAGAGCACGGGCAGCCAGAGAGCCGCGAGCCCGAGCTCGAATTCAAATCGTCCGCTGACGGCTCGGGAGCAGCTCTTTGGGGGAAACCACGATGACTCTCTGTCTCACCATTATGCCGTCACTAGTCCAGTGAGTTCTGATGTCTCACCACAGTTATCACCTGTATTTAAGAGCGAGGCTGCTCGTGCTATTGTCATGGAGATGTCTTCCCTGAGAGATGCGTCAGGACACAATGTGGACCACCAGCCACGCAGACGAGCTGTTCCCAAAGAGAAGCGCAGACATCACACTGTGTCGAGTAGTCAACCTCTGCTTGACATTGAAACCTCCGCATCTCCAATCATGGTACTCTTAAGGATTGTCACTTTGCGTTGATATTGCATGTACCTACAGCTTGTCAAAATATTGCTTTTATCTAATAGTTTCTAACTTTGCTTTAAGTTGTATAATAACAAAGGTTGTGTTAAAGGTGAGCATTTTGACCTTTAGCCCGGACAACAGCTGTTTCTGAAGTCCAAGAATTACGTGGATTCCGTTGAAGCTCTTCACAGACTACTAAAAGAAGTTTAGACGCAACTAAGTGTATATTTTTCATAAGTATCAGAAAGACAGAGTGAGGGCTTAATTAAATCAAAAGGTGGTACGTCCAAGAAATGCTTATTAATTTTTTCAGAAACTGACGTAATCTCTTCTAATTTTTTATGCAGTAAAGACATATGTTGTGCAAAACAGTTCCTTTGCCAGCTAGTCTGTACAGCTTTATCTTGGTGTCTTACGGTAAGTAAAGAACATTTAAAACACAAGAATTATGGAAAATATTCATCCCCAAGACAGAAACATAACTTCAGCGATGGATATTAACCTTTTAATTTTAATCAAAACCCTTAAAAATAAAAATAAGCTTTTACTTCATAAACTGCTTAATCAGTTTTACCAGCAACTTCTTTGTAGTTTTTTTACTTTATGTATCTCAAATATTTTAATAGCAGTGGTGCCCTAATTTTGCACCCTTAAGAAATGAACATTACTTTTTTTGCTTTGGTAATTATTTTCTTTCATTAAGCTTCGGTAGAGATGGTCTTCTGTGAGAAAATAGAAATCCTTTACATGAGAGTAAAAGAGAAACAATGGTTGAGGGAGACGCTGACCAAAATCTGCTGTGTGCTCATGCCAGATCTCGATGGCTTCCCACCTGAGATAATTCATGCCCCTAGTTCGGAGATGCCGTCAAAGTCGATACGGTGTTCTGTCACTGCCAACTTCTCTGGTTGCTAAAGGCAGATATGCCTCATATGTTCTTGGTGTCTGGCCTCGACAGTTCTGCTGGTCTGCCCCACAAAGTTTATTGCATTCGCCAGGTATGTGGTAGATACCAGCGACCGTCAGACCCAGCTTCTCCTTAACCGTTGTAAGCAGAGTGTTATTTTTCTTGGTCAGAATGTGGATGGTCTCGATGGTGTATTCATCACGCAGTCTGATAATCTTGTTTGAGCTGATTTATTGGTAACGCCAGCAAGGCCAAACAGAGCTAGGCTTGTGAATTTGCCTACCAGCCCCATTGGCCACCCAGTCCAGCAGCAACTGGTCCAGGCATTGTATATACAGAGTGTCCCAAAAAGATCTGTACATACTTTAATTGAATGAAATAGACATTTTAATAAACTGAACCATTACATGAATCAGCATTGGGACTTAGTGAATTAGCGAATCAAGTGTGGGAGTTCAAAATGACCACCATTAGTTTCATGGCACAATTAACAGCAGTGACAAGCAGCCACCAAATTTGCTATGAGTATGCAGTGGTCGCGCGGTCTGAGGCGTGGGCCTTGTGCCGCTTGGTCGCTGGGACCGTGGGTTCAAATCCCACTCAAGCCATGGATGTCTGTGTTGTGCTGTCCTGTGTACGACGGGCCGATCCCTCGTCCAAGGAGTCCTACCGAATGTCTAATAGATCAAGCCAACGAAAAGTTGGGACCCGCAGTGCTGAGGCACTTGAAGAACGGGTCGTCCCAGTATACGTAATGTTGGGACGCTCTGTATGTAGGACTTCCTGGTCTCTGCAGACATCAGATGAGGATTGAGACTGTTCTCAACATGTCAATTTCTGAGAAGACTTCATATTGATTAATATCATGCACAGATGAGCAGATTCACATAGTTTTCTTGTTGTACGGCTAAAACAAGGTATTTCCAGGCTCAATTTAAACTCTGTTAATTGGATGTTATGTTGTTTTTAAAAATTACAGTCAGTTTCCTTTCTCATTTAGTGTTTTTTTGTCTGGGTACCCATGAGTTAAAGTCCTTGAAATCTTTCTTTTTCTACACAGTCGCAACACTTCGTCTTGTGTTGTGTTCATGAAGCGCTGAGTTTCAAGCTTGTACCTTCATCTCTTCTACACTCTTGTGCAACTGAAATACTTCAAAATGAAAATAAGTAACGTACAGTCCTGTGCAGGTTCAGCTTACTCTAATTTACATTTCAGAATATATTCGAACATAATTATGATATAACAACATTTATATTATGTTTGTACTCATAAATTTATAATTCCCTGAATTCCGTAGAAGGTTGCCAGCCCTCAAGTAAGCTCCGTAGTCAGAAGTTATGTTTATTAAAATAATATTAATTTCTGTTTGTTCTACGTCACTAATCTGTAATAATTTCGCAGGGTTCAGCAAGGTCACGGGACGATCTTGACATGGAGCGAGCGTTGCGCCCTCGACTGAATGCTCCCGATGTTGTCAGGTCTACAATGAGCCACAAAGACTTTAAGTACAACGAAAACACAATCGACAGTATTTTGGGGACTCCCAACAAAATTGTTATACCTGAACGATACATTCCAGAGCAGGTAAGTTACTTTAATAATGTCTGTGGGTTACATCTGCACAGATTCTGAACTTTTAAAGCAATTCTCCCCCCCCCCCCCCCAATTGCTACCCCTCTCCAGGATGTAACTTTTACATTAAAATGTTTATCGGCACTTAGTTTGTCGTAGGAAGTCGCTGCTTCTATGAGCCACAGAAGTTCCTTAACAAGTTCACAGACACCCACTTCTGGACCTTGTCTTACGTCATGCCAATCCAATCCACACTCCACTTTCTTAATATCCATTTTAATATTGTCCTCCCAGCGAGATCTCCCAAGTTGTTTCTCCTTTCATGTTCAATTAATTTCTCGTAGTCCTAGTGTATGCTACATGTCCTGCCCATCGTGTCCTCCCCTGCTACTTTTGCCTTCTTAATACATTTATCTGCACGGTACTGAAATTAATTCTGAGAAGGCAGATGCTTCGAACATCCTTGGGCGTTGGTCGTTGGGTGCCACTCCAAACTCTTACCAAAGTGAATGATACTTAAACTTGTCAGGTGGGGGAATTATCGCGCATGACAATGTCGGTGATGTCAGTGCTCATGATGACGCAACATTTATTAAGTAAAAAGCAAACCGATTCTTATTTTGTTCTCTTTTACTGCAACTGCCTGACGTTGAACAGTGTTCTTTCAGTATTTGATCTGACAAGAGTAAAATACTCGCAAACACACGAGAATTGTCTGTGTATTTTCATTTTGGATGCCATATGTACGTGTCGACCG